TGCAGTTCCATATTCCACCGCGGATAGCCCACTATATGAACGCCTGTGTTATGTCCTTCGCTCATTTGTACGCACCACCACGCCTGTCTCTCTTCTGCAGGCATTCGAAAACTTTGCATTGGAGCTCTATCGACTTTTACGTGTTAGTCTTGTCACTCCCGCATTCACATGTCTTGTTTATGTTACTTACGATTTCCGATCGACAGGAGACATTGGTATGTGATGCGTTTTCAAATCACTCTTTGCCCATACTGACTAGCTCCATAGAAACATATAGCAGTGGGCGAATAGCTACTTCACTTGCGTTGTTGCGATAACCGGGCTTAATAGGCTTCTTTTAAAGCAATCTAATCCTCGCTCGCCCACGATTGATCATCTACAGTTCTAGATTTTGGAAGGACAACGCGCAATATTTGGACAATAAGAAATGGGGGTGCTTGTCTTACTACGCTTCTCCGAAATGGTGATATTGCGATATCTCTTTCGAGGTACAAATCGTTGGAGGATCGAGGAAGCTATATTATGTTTCATTTGAACACTAAATCAATCATACCGCCCGAGTTCGTTACCCCATCGCCAATCATTGATATTGGGGGCAGCAGGTTGACCCTTCCCAATTGCTGCTATCGGAAGGCAGTAGAGAAACCACTTCAACCTGCGTCCTAAATATTTGCAGCCGCTTTGTTACACTTAAAAGGACAAGATTGATAAATATAAATCTTTTTCTTTGGCAAAGCGTACATTGATCGAGAATATGACACTACACTAATTCATAACAGACGCCTACTTCAGCGTCGTTGACGTTGCAATACGCAGAGGCTCATTACAAGTGTTTAATCGCTTGCCCATTATTTCATTGGACCGTCGAGCTGGCTCAGTACTAGGTATGCTTGTGGAGTCAGTCGTTTCATACTACTTGGACACAGCAAAGCATGCATTTTAGGGAAACGCCACACGAGTGGAACGAGAACATTGTTATAACACGGTCGAACACCTCCCTCTATAACGCATCTCTGTCCAACGCATTATACACATTCTTATACCCGTCAGTTAAAAACCAGTATATGGTGATGGATGAAATTTAGTACCACTGCCCTCTATCTGGAGGTTGAGGTAACTCAGCACCTTTCATCATTCGGTCCTTATTCATAGCCGTTCACGGATCGCCACCTCACGTTAAACGAGACATCTTCGGTGACTATGGATTGCTTCTGATGCCGGTGAACACCATTATTGTCCATTGGTTTGTTGATATCCATTTGGGGCAGTTTTTGGAAAACACGATGTAAATCCGTCCATATTTACTTGTGATGGTCTTGACAACAGGTGCGCTGCTTGCTCTATCCTGTCACGTGTGCTGCCCGCGCTAAAATGTCATGGTGGTATCTTATCGATTTATACTACAATCTGAGCTTTTAGTTTCATTTTGTTTTTGGTCTTTTACCATTTGTACATCTTAATAGATGTTTTCAGCTACTATTTCGTTTTCTGTTCGTATCACAATATGCGGGGCCTCCGCAATACATATTGAAGGTGTTGGCATCGATGCTTTTTGATACCCATTTGGCTACTTTTTTTACCGACTATCTGTTCCTCAATCTTAACGATGACGGAATTGTTTTGTGCCCACATGTGTATCAAGCTGTCTGCTCGTGAGATCCGGTCAAAGAGCTATGTGTGCATTTTGGCGTTGGTCATTCAAGGAGAAGCAGCTGTGTTACTAGACACGCTGCTCTTACACCATCATTGACGGATTCCGATCGCGATAGCCCGCTTACCCCTCCTCCCCCGATCCATTAAGCTATACTGGGTAGTGCCATTAATCGATTTCAGACCTATTTTTACCAAAGAAGTTACTGTGTAGAGATCAGTAACATACAATCGTCCACTTTCTATCTTGAAAGTTCGAAATGGTGTGGCCTCCATTTCTTTGATACTGGCTTGCCTTCGGTACGTCCTTTACATTTTTACCACATTTTAACCAGGCTTTTGGATAAAAGCCTTCAAGCGAGAAACATAATTATTTGCCTGCCTAGATGGTACCCTGGCAGCATCTTAGCCCACGTACGGTCGCGACCATTTTAGCAGACTTTTACCTCATCTTTCCTTGGATGTTCAGCGGTTTCAACTTTGTCGCTCTGTCTGCCAAACCCAAAACAGCTAAGAAGCGTAAGACATTTGTTCCCCTTCATCCATTTCGTCAAAGCAGAAAGAAGACATAGATTGCGATATGTCAACATTTCGATTGTTCTCATCAGTCGCAAACACAATACAAGCAGAAATGGAGTCTATTTTGGGTGATAGACGTAAGTTCCTGAGAGATACGACACCGGAGAATAACATCTTGGTGGAGAAGCAGGTAGCAAGAAAACTCCAGATACTCTTGCTGCATGGATACATCACTGAGTCGCAGTACAGGCAATTGAAACCGACTGGGACGCAGACACCAAGAATGAGGGGCGCACCCAAACTGCACAAACCAGGTAACCCACTGCGTCCGATTATGTGTATGAACAGCTCGTCCTATCATAACGTTGCTCGGTGGCTGGCGAAACTCTTAGATCCAGTGCGTAAACTCCTGACTACGCACTGCCTGAAAGTCTCTTTCGAACTGGCGGAGACACTGGAACAATCCTCACTGGCCTCAGAGCTCATGTACTCTTTATACGTGGACTCACTATTCACAAACGTGCCCCTTCATGAAACAGTTGACGATTTATGTTATTTCATTCTGAGTCAAAACATGCATGTGGGCCTCCCTGTGGATTGTTTGAGAGATCTGATTCTACGCTGCACAGAAAATATACAGTTTGGGTTTGAGGGGACGCCATACAAGCAGATCGCTGGGGTTGCCATGGGCAGCCCATTGGGACCAGTTTTAGCAGATATCTTTCTTGGCTTGATTGAAAGACAAGTTGCTGCCAGTATTAGTGAGGAGAAACTGTACAAACGGTACGTGGGTGACATTTTGGTATTCACCAGAAGCGAACATTTTGCGCGACTGTTAACCACTTTAGGATCAATTCACCCCCAACCTATCGGTATCCCACGAGAAGGAACAACATGACAGCCTGCCATTTTGGATATCTTCATCAAGAGACGGGATGGAGGTACACTGCAGCGCACTGTTTACCGCAAGGCGACCTGGAGTGGGCAGTACCTTCAGTTTTCCAGTTTCGCCCCGGTTGCATACAAACGCGGTCTAGTGAAGACACTTTTCTGCAGGGCTAGACGAATTTGTAGTCCGGAATTGCTGGAAGTTGAAGAAAAGTTTCTGTATAGGACCTTAGTATCGAATGGTTATCCCGAAAAGTTCATCCAAGTGCACAGCAAACCCCCCAAGAAGAAACTGCCAGTGCAAACGGCAGAGAAAAAAGCTGTCTATTTAGTTCTGCAGTTCAAAAGGGACTATGTGGCAAATGATATCGGACACAAGCTCTGATCCGCCATAAATTGCACATACGCGACTGCGCAGTTGCGCCTCATGCATACTACCCGGAAACTGGTTCTTCAGGACCGTCAGAGCTACCCTTCGGCTAGTTCGGCCTCTCATGTGGTTTATCAATTCACCTGCAGTTGCGGTGATGTTTACATAGGCAAGACTAACCGTCGGTTGGCTCAAAGGGTGGCTGAGCACTTGCCAAGTGGGTCGAACAAATGATAGCGCAACAGAACGGAACGCCCCACAGAACGAATCGGAGTCCGTCATCATCTATCGCCAAACACCTCTTGACAACTGGTCACCATGTGAACCCCAATAATGCGTTCAAGGTGTTATTACCTAACAGAAACCCGATAAGGTTGGCAGTCAGTGAGGCGTTGCTAATTAGCGCTTATCAACCTGTGTTATGTGCACAGAAACTCTTGAGGCAATCAATCAGATTGCCTTGGTCTTGATTTTGACAGTTTCATTGGTGTGCCAATATTTTCCCGTGTATATAAATGTGTCTGTGTTTCTGCTTGTATTGTGTTTGCGACTGATGAGAACAATCGAAATGTTGACACATCGCAATCTGTCTTCTTTCTGCTTTACCGAAGCTAAGAAGCAAAAACAGGCTACAACAAATGCTTTTTTTCTGTCTTTCCCTGATATCCCTTTTCTGATTCCCATGTGTTTGACGTCAACTGCGATACTACTGAAGTTCTGCCATCTGCATTCTTGTCACGACAGTACCCAACACTGTTGTCAAGTGATACACCCCATCTTGGGTATGGTGGATTCTAAAGTCCGTTGTTGTGCAACCTTATTCTTTTGACGGATCGCATTTTGCCACTAGACTTTTGAACGCTGATACTCTATGTCCGCTTGCGCCCTATCTATTGATGCATTGAGTCCTTAGCTGGCAACTTGGCTGTACAGCCATTGCAGTAGCTTCAGAAATTCGCCTGTTATGAGGAGTGGTCTATCTACCAGACTCGCGAAATAATCGGAACGAATGACAACAGTTTGAAATGTTAATCACTCAGGATGAACTCTTTCCCGGGCTTGCTGTTTTGTTTGCTGTTGCTCTATCACACTAAATACCATCCTGGTGATACCTAGCCTGATGAACAGATGCACTTTAGAAAATCCACCCACCTTTCCCTGCAGCCTTTTCCCAACCTTTTTTTACTTTGCACAGCTCTACGTTAACACCTTGTTTACTAGACCTTTTGGGGCACGAAATATCACTCACGACATAACTTAGTGCTGATTGTCTGATATTAGTCTTCAGATAACTTGTTTTCTTAATTATACCTTGATGGGGATTTATAGCACTTTGTTCCCCTCTTCTTTGTTAGGTGCCTGGTACCTTTTAATCAGTCAGGAATAATTACTCTGATGTCTTCCACTTTGGATGACAGTATGTCTGTTCTGCCCGGTGAAAGCGGCAGCGTGGCTGAGATATTGGGATCTTCCGAAAGTCTCACCAGTCACTCTGGCTCCACCGAACCGGCAGATTCGGCGAGTGCAATCGCCTTAACTGCTGCCTTCCATTTCACCGGCACCTCCGCGTCAGCCAATGGTGCGACGATGCAAGAATGTTTCCTTCAGGTTGTGCACTTTTTTATTGTATTCTATGAGCTCTTCAGTGACTCCTCCTCATTCTTCTTCTATATCTCTTCGAGAATGAATGTTGCTCTTCACTGCCTTATAAGCATCATGTTGGTTGACTTGGCACTTGTGCTGTTTGCCTCCTTGGCCTCCTTTCCTTTCTTCAGTTGGCAGGGACTAGTTCCTCTACCCGTCAAGATAGACTCCGCATCCTCGGAAGAGTCAGTCGCACTGATACTGCAACGGTCAGTGTTCGGATCAACATCCCCATTGACCCTTAAGTTAAATAGCTGACACAATTAGAATTCATCACATGCAGCAATACATGGTATACCAAGGCTTCACTGGTCCATAATTACCCAACCAATGCATTGCCTCGTACAAAAGTTCCAATTTCCACTTTGATGGCTGGTAGACCTAACCGATATGCAGTCAGTGTGTGTGCTACCCGTTTCGGCGCATGAAATAAATGGCTGCGCGTTCTAGATAGCGATTACCATGAAGTACACTGTAGTGGCCATTTGTGCTACTGGACATTATTTTGTTTTCAATTCAACCAGCTTGGTAGCTTTGACAAGGTTGCCTATCCAGTACATGTCATAGTGCTTATTTGTATCTTTCATTTAGTGGGTTTATGCTTCATCTGTGTTTACCAATTTACCAGCACGCTAATTAAACCCATTTTACCATTTCTGAAACCTTTTTATCTTTGCAAGTAGTGGCAATTGCCTCTGTGCACTGCTGATCATCCTCATGGTTTACGAAAAGTCCCCTTAACCATCAGATTGGCAATGACCTTGAATGGGGTTGCTATTTCGAAGCGTTTACCGGATTGCTGTAACATATCACGGTGTGGCTTGTACATACCTCAGGCATTTGCGTTTTTCTTTTAAAACGTTTTCATTGGAACTTGCATCCATTGGAGCATCATCTCACCCGCCAACTAAATAAATCGACTGGTTGTCCACAAATTTCTCTGAGACCATGACTTCTCCATCGGTTCCAAGTATATTCCAAGAGTTCGAATCTTTCCCCCTTTTTTGCTCGTTCACATTGTAGTCCGTCGTGTCATCTGCACAACAGTATGAACTTCTCATCACTCGTCTACGCGGGCTGAGCCGTGAATGGACGGAGTTTTGCGATCAGGAAATCTCGCTACAACTTGGGTCGGATGACCGATCAGATGCCGCCACCGCAAACAGCACCCGCACGATTGCGGGCGCACAAAACGTCGTCTCTACAGCGGCGCATACAACATCCTCTCCTAGCGTGAATACGCGTATTCGACGAAGCTTGCTTCCATCTATGCAGTTCGCAGATCGCTGCCTTTCCGTTCTGCGATACCTTGGAGCCGTGGAGACCGATAAACTTGTGAGTCTCCTTCGCTTCCTATTGTGATTATGTGATATGCATATGAGTTGAAATTCACAATACCATGTCCTGTCACTGTCATATACCTGCTCATAACTGTCGTCCACGTGTCAACTGTATCGACGAGTCTAAGAGAGGAGCGCTCCTACCTAGATGCCATTATGTGTAAGTTGTATCCTCTGCATCACTGATGATTGCATAGTTATTATCTATCGTTGCCCATTCCTCAAGTTCGTTCAGTTTAGTTCATTTCGGTTTAACAGCCATGATCAGGGCACCGAAGTGCAGGGGGTCCAGTTGTCAAAATTCGCGTCGCCAGCGTAACCATAAATGAAAACGGTAAGAAAATGTTATCACAAATATAATGTAAAGAAAATGAAATCAAGAAGAATGTGCGCTAAACCAATGGGAATAGAATGAAAATTAATGCTCGGATGCAAGCAAATAAATGCAAGAACTCCACAGACTGCGCGACTACGCTATGTCTGACAGAGTCTCCAACCACTGATGTCAATTATCCTGAGGCCCTCACCAATCCACCAGCCTGGTGGAGTATCTCAGTCAGTTTTTTCATGCTGTTATACCACGTCATCGGCTGCCCACCTCGCGAGTTCGCCCAACTTGGTACAGCCACGGCGTATAATGCACGCCGAGGAAGCCGGTGCAGCGGCACACCGACGAATGACCTAGCCAACGCAAGCGGTTAAGCTTTAGCAACCACGAGTTATGCACCAATGGTTTCTTGACGAGAACCAACTGAGGTACTGCAGCAGTACTCAGTGGATCTTCTCGCCACATGTGAGCAATACTCACAGACGATTGGGGCGCCCGACGACTGCGACCTGCTTCAGTGTGACCTTGACCGCCTCTCCATGTGGTCAGCAATGGTCAACCTTCCGATCAACCCGGTCATGCCGGTATACATGTGCCTGGGCAAGGGTGGTAATGGCCGAGTCTGCAATCTGACCGGTCATCAGTTACACCCATCGCCTTCCGTGAAAGATCTCGGCTTACTTTCACGCTCCGATTTGAAATCCGTTGAAAACACGAATAGGCTTTACCAAAATCGACTGTGCATGCTCTGGGCGCTCAAACGCAGCTTCTACACTTGGTTCGAAGAGGTTGCCACCCGCCTCTTCTCTTCTATCATCAGACCAATGCTAGAGTACAGCTCACCCGCCTAAGGTCCCCTCACCCAAAATCTCACTGATTTACTTTTAAGCACCGCTCGCAACATCATGCTGTTTGAACGGTAGAAACAGGAAAACAATCATTTTTGTGACAGTAAGAATTGACAGCTTTTTTAGGATTTGCCGTGCACTTGGGTGGTTTTCTCACGGCATCCATTGCAAAGTATTTTGTTGTATAAACGCTTTTCTTCAGTATTTAGTGAGTACGGACTGCAAATTATCCTGGCCCTGTGCAACACCATTTTCACGAGGCGGAGTTAGCACACAACTTAGCCGAAGTAGGAAAAATAAATATATTGCAAAAATAAAACGAATAAAAGATATATTCCCAAGCATGCGTGGTACACGACAACCAGGTGGTTTGACTAATGTGTTGTCCACCATATATGTTGCTTCGTAGTGCACGGTGCGCGGAAGGGTTTAGCCATCACGGTTTCTTATAAGTACGTCAGATTTGCGCAGCTTGCGTGCACAAAAATGAGGGATGCACACAAGCTGCGCAAATCTATTGGGTTCAGTGAAGGCGAATATGGTGCGAGTCGCAAGTCTCCCTGATTGTTAACGCTCCTCTTGGAACGCATGTTCCAGATCCGTGTGTAATGGTGCGTAGTCGCATATAAGCAGAGACTTATCGGTGACATCGATGCCGTTTGTATCAAACATTTGTGAACGGCGCTTGTTACTAAACCAGATCTGCCTTGTCGCACACATACACGACTGCTTGAGCACCACTTGTGTACAACCCCGAAAGCAATGTCATCCATAAGCGCCACAGTACATTACCAGACAGTTCAGTCTCCATGGTATCGCCCAGTTCATCAGTTCAACTGACTCACGAGATGGTTGGACATTTCCCAAT